CCCCTTTTTTGGTATTATTCATATTAGCAAATTACAAAGTGTTGTGACCAAATAAACATTTGACTTCTAGTTGTTGAGCTATTACTTTTTCATAATTTTCTAAAGATGGAAACATCTGAAATCTTGATGTTAATTAAAGCAGAACATTAAATTGTCAAAGTACGTTCTTAGAGTGTGTGGGGAAAAATACAGTATTTTATTATTACTTATTGTGGCCTATGCTATCATATGATTAAATATTCCTTTAAAAATAAGGCTAATATTTTTAACCTTTCAAAATATGGTTAATCTTTCTCTTTAAGGAATAAATTATTTTCTGTGGTGCGTATTTAATGTTTTAGTACCTGAAACACTAACTCGGGAATATTTGCCTTTAAGTTTTTGATGATGAAGAAGAAAGCAAGCTGTCTTACACAGAAATCTATCAGGAGTACCAAGCTTTGGTGAGCATTAATCACTGCTTGTGGTAGATTTCTAAGAAATATAATTAAAAATGTTTAAGTAGTATTTATTTAAATAAACTTCTAATTGTGTTGTTATCTGTTTATTATCTATGCTTTTCTAAGGTCGCCTGTCAAAATTTTTGCTGAGATATCCTGTGAGTCATAGTTGCCATATAAATTTTTGTTTATGCTTAGACACTAGATAGCTAGAGGAGAAACTTTAACAGAGTCATATTTCTTATGTGCTGCTACATATTTTTCAGTTACGTTGCTGTATCCTTTAGCTAAAATACTATACGTGTAGTATTTTCTGTCAAGTTAAAATGACAAGCAGCGTGATGACTGAAAGAAAACACATACAGTTTGTATTTTGTTACTATTGTCTCTGATAAATCTTTGAGTTAACTTTTACGTATTAGAAAAGGCTACGCACGTGTTTCTAAAATATCTCTTGTAATAAGGCATGGTAATATTTGATGTTAAAAAACATTAATCGAACACAGATCAACATCCATTTTGCTCTGTGTGCCTGTTTTGCTCTGTCTCTCCCTTCAGGGTCAGACTGAAATTAGGAAGAGGGCAAAAAATGACAAGAAATACTAGCCAGGACTCTGGAGAAAAGGCAAAGAGATGAGGTTCTTGAAAATTAGAGAGGCTAAATTGAGTCGTAAGCAAGTTCAGAAACCAAAATCAATGTTAATCTTAACAGTTAATGAAAGTAAATCAAGCCTGAAGTATGAGGAAAATCAGTTACAGTGATTTTCTTGGGAGTTATAAAAAATAAAATGGCAGCAGAAAGGATATACAATTGTGAAAAACACCCCAAACCATATGATTCCTAGGGAAAAGCCTATTAGGAGGTAAGACTTGCACTTTCTTATAGGTTGAAAAATTACTAGAAGGCTATCTTAAAGAAGTTGGAATTAATGAAGAGAAATTTCAAGAAGCTTTTTCATCTCCTCTTGCAAAGACGCACACTTCCCAGGTATGTTTTCCTTTGTTAAGGAACGTACGGATTTAATTAATTTTCAGTTCTGTATTTTCACTAATATAGCAGGGAGGAGATGAAATTTTGAAATGTTTTATTGTTAAAACTCTAATTTTCAGGTTTTAGAAATGATGTATTTGTTCATATTATGAATTATGACCAGCAGAGTTGTATCTTGAAGTTAATGACAGATATTTGTGTGGTGTCAGACACTTTTTGTCAGAGATTTGCCTTCTATGGTTTGTATTTTCTAAAACAAACTCCAAAGTTTAGAGCGTGTCAGTCACCCTTAGCTGCAGATTTGTCAGCTTTTCCTTAGTGTTCTGTCCATTTGCAATAGCAGACAAACTTAACGATCAAAGCAACAGACATATTTGATAAAGGCAGAAGATGATATTTTCCTCTAATTTTGTAATAAAGTGATTAATATCTGCCATACAAAACCTGCTCACAGATACCTTTCAGAATTGTCTCAGGTTTACTGGGGAGAGGAGTAGGCGCTTCTGCTGCCAGAGTAAATTGAGCTTTGTTTACATACTTCCTCCTAAATGTATAACAAGATTCTTCAGCGTGTATTCCTCAGTCAAGTTTACAGTTTTTATTCAGTAAGTCAAATGAATTGCCGTAGTAAATTTACATTGGAAACCCCTTCAGGTTTTGTGGTAATCTTATTGTAGCCATGATGATTGAAGGACGTAGGCAGGAAAAGAACTCTAGAATTTTTTTTATTAGCTCAACTTACATAGCTAGGAAGAGTAGACAGATAGGAGAATTAAATCTAATTACTGAAAGTACATGCTCAACAGAATTTACATTTTAATATAATTTCAAGCAAACTGAAATGATTGTGATTTCTTTACGATTTTTAATTAATTTGTGATCATCTCCCCTCCTGCAGGCTGTTTTGCAAACAGTATTGGCAGCAGAAGATTTCAGACTATTTAAAGAAATGATGGTTCAGAAAAATATTGAAATGCAATTGCAAGCTATTAGAATCATTAAAGAAAGAAATGGTAAGAAATGCAGGTGGGATTTCCCTTCATCTTTTAATGTGTTTTGATGACTACAGGATCCATCCAGACATAAGGAGTATGGCGTTCTGGTCCAGTTCCAGCTGAAATTAATGAAAGACAGTCCGTTGATTTTAGTGGGACCAAGATTTCAATACTTACTCCTTGGCTTCTATTCTCAGCCACTGCTGTTTGTAGTCCTTTCTAAGAGACAGAAAAATAGAGCTGAAAAGTTAGTTTTTCTGTGAAATTTGGATTTAGTTTTCTGCTAAATAATTTTGTTGATAAATTTCGGGAGCGTTTAAAGTAATTGCGTCACTTAGTATGGTATCATTGCTATGCAAATTGCAAAATCCAGACTATCAGCATCCTCATTGTTCACTGTCTGCCATGTTTATTTTCACATTCACACTGCACATTCGCACGTGAAAAATCCATATAGAAAGCAGAAGTTACGACCTTCATCATTCTAATACATACATGCCTTTAATGAAGAGAAAATAATTTATACCCAACAATGCTCCTCTGATGGTGTTTCTGAGGATTTTCATCTACTCACTCCTTTCTTCCATGTCTACAGTTCTGCCAATTTGTTTTGGGTTCTTAGTGCCTGTATGATTTTTCAGAGAGAGTAATTTTTAAATTTCAAGTTCTGCCCAACAGCTAATTGTGGAAAAGACTGTTCAGTCAGTCATGGTTGTTCTGCAGTCTATGGGGAATGCTGTATGACGGTCAGTGCCGAGTATGGCTTATGCTTTACGTTTAAATGTCGGAATTTTAATATTTCAGAGAGCTTTACCTTCTTGCTACAATGAACTTGTTGCCCAGGATTTAGAATCTTTCTGGAAATAGCTACAAAGAGAAAGAATTAGATGTACTTTTTCTTCCACTTCTCTGGCTGAAGAATGGTGCCAAATGGGATACAAAATAACGTTCTTTCAAGTAATGCATAAATTTAACCGTGATTTTTTTGATAGGTGTGTTGCCTGACTGTTTAACAGATGGTTCTGATGTATTCAGTGAAATTGAACAACAAGAAATGAAAATACTCAGGGAGGTTCTAAGGTAAACATTGATCGGTCCTACCTCATACATTGTTTTAATAGAGAAAAGTATACAGGGCCTAACTCTTCCAGATTTTACTAGGAAACTTTCCTCACTTTCTGGGTGACATGAATATTCTTGTCAAAATCCTACTTGAGAGGAAATGAATAGTGCAAGAGAGTGGATGTGATCAGGAATATTTAAAGAGACAGCGATAACCACTCTGTCATGCTGAATTATCTTTGCGACACATGTAATGGTGTTGCACTTTGATAAGCCTCGTCGTTTCCCTTCTCTCCTGAATCCTGAGTTAGATGTAAAATTAGAGCTGAGTTAGACCTGCACGGACTCTGGACAATAGGAGCGTGTTAGCTGTAATCCCTTCTTCTGGTGAAGAGGGATCTAAATGCAGATCTGGAGAGAGAGGATCAACGCTGTATGTCTGCTTAAAGCAGCTTTGTTGCTCCTCAGCACCACTTGAATATCGTGCCCTGTTCTGTGTCCACTAAAGCTGTGGAAAGGCAAATTCTGCTTTTGCAGTAGGCTTTATTCTTTCCCACAGCTTCTTTCTAGCTGTGTACAATGACTCTCGCTATAATTCAGGAGGTATGTGAGGACTGATACAAATAGAAAGTTTCTCCTCCACTCCCACTTCACATAGACAAAAACAATCATAAACAAATAACAGCAAATTAATCCATTCAGGTTATACTGAGTTACGCTGTTTTCCTTCTGTGTTCTGTGAACGCTCTCCTTCCCATCTTTAAAGCAGCAAACGAAACAAGGGACAGATACTGCAGAAATTCTTACACAGTTATTTTAGCACAGGGCAAATAAGAACCCGCAGTTTTCAGCCTATGTGTTTATCATAGTTCTTTATCTCTGTTAAGAGTGTATTGTCATTTAAGTCATGAAAGTATTTTGGAGAGTTCAACCAATTCACGTTATACCGAGATCATCTTGATAGTCCTCAAGTATTTAAGCAGTGCTAAATTTATATAAAGATCACGGATACTAAAGAAGTCTTTAGTTTACCTGTATTTTGTGTTACAGGAAGTCTAAGGAGGAATATGAAATAGAGCAGGAAAGGAAAAGGACTGAAGAGGTCAGTAGCTTGTTTTTATAGATGATTTATGCTAATGATTATGAAATACCTTAATACTTTTGTCTTACATGTCAACTATATCACTTTAAGGCAGTATGCACCATCCAGTGTGTACCATCCAAAGCAAATAAAAGGTCTGTCAGGAAGGTCTTACTGACTTTTCTTTTTGAAGAGTCTGCTCTGTTGTTTACATTTTTGTTCATGATGTCACTGACATTAGTGTTATTTGTAATACCATTAACATCAGTCTTCTGGTGGAGCTCATATAGTAAGCATACTCCCTCTGGAGTATCGGAATTCTAAAGTCCTGGCAATGGATGTCAACCTTTCAGTTCCAGAGAGCATCTGAATTACCAGTGTTGTCAAGATCAAAGAGACTTCAAAGTATAAGCTTCTTGGAGATTATAGCACTCATAATCCTTCAGGAATTTTAAGGATCACTTCGCGGACAGTACAGTTATTCATTAAGTTTGCACAATGTTGCAAGAATCTAATCACCAGGAACTAGAAATCCTCTCTGAGTTAGAATGTCACTTGGTCTCCATCACAGTAAACCCTGTAGAAAGGTAACTGAATGTAAAAGTGGACTGGCTAGACGGCCAATGGATAAGCAACAAAAAAGCAAATTGAAGTCTGCAGAGCGAGGCTGCTTCAAGGAAGCAGTAATAGCTCCAGTCGACATGTGGCAATAAAGCTTTTTTTCTTCACCACGTAAACACACAAAAAATAGCTAGGAATGCAAGCTGTTTCAAAAGGGAGTACAGTTGCTTTTCTATTCTTTTTTGCCATTAAGAAGTTGAGCCTAGCAAATTTGAAAAGAGAAAGCACCCTCTGTTTCTTCAGCCTGAACCGGCAGAGGAATCTGCCTGGATACCAAACCTAACTACCACAGAGGTAGTTATTTTATCTCCAATCCTGCTCGTAAATGCAAACCCGTAATAAGTGCAGATGATAGCTATGCTATTGAATGCAAGTGCTAAACAAATTGGGGCATTCCTCCAAATCAAATGTCTCACCCTGCATCCTGTAGAAGAACAACACTATAGAAGAGCAGTAACAAAATTTTATTTCCTATATTACAATAATACATTCCAGGAAATGAGTCACCTGTTCTAAGGATTTCTTACGAAACAACATGGAACTTAAGATTTGTCTCGTTTTAAGAACTGACATTGTATCTAGATGCAAACTTATCCGAATCTTTGTAAGCCAGCCAGGAATACCAATATTCTAGCATTTCTGTTCCAAACGAGCCAGAGTACAGTAGCACCAATCAAATACCTTCAAGGGCCCAACCAAATTTGAGAGTTTATTTTGCTGTGTCCTATACAAACATTATTGAGCTAGTTAAGAACTTAAAACCTTAATTGACAAAAGCAAATTAAAAAAAAAAATGCGTGCGTGTGTGTGTATAAACACATATACAGCTGAGTAGTTACTTTTGTTTACTTTTTCTCCCTATTCATTTTTTCAGTCCAGCCATGGTGTTCTGTTTCTTCTTGACCTAGAATATGTGCACAGTGCTGTAATACCTCGATTTACTCTTTAGCACTAACAGCATCTGATTTCATGTAGTAGTACTTCTTAACACATGCTTCCTAGTAATTTGGCAAGCAGAATAATGTATCCTTTGTTATTAGAAAACATGAGTCTCACTGCAGATTTTATAAAGACAAGACTTACCTTTTGTATGTCAGCGTTATTTGCTCAAAGATGGAGTTCTTAATTTTTCTTTATTTTTTTTTCCAAAGAAAATTGTAGCAAAGAGCACATGGGAAGTCCTATTTAAATTTACCTTTTCATGACCGGCCCCTTTAGGATGTCTTCTGCCAGTTCCCCTCCCTTATAGTACCTGCCCTAAAATAGTTTAATAATGCAAAACTTACTCAGTATGCATTTGCAGGAAATCTGGCTCCAGAAGCAATATGAATCCACTCAATACATTAATTCACTTTTGGACAGAAAAGGTGATTGTTACTGCTGAATTGCATATTTTTGTTAGCAGATGTTTTAATAAAAAATGATTTGCTAATTGATGAATACTAGAAGGTTCTGACATGAATTAGATGATGAAAAGCCTAGACACTTTCTCGGCAAATGCTATCTGTATTTACTTATTTCCAGAGAGGTGAGTGCACTGTGAAGATTCCTCAGACTTAGTGTAAAGTGAAATAATAGTGTCAGATATTACCCAGACCTGTTGTTACCATTCAACTGATTATTTCTCTGTTTCTGTGGTAACTTTAGTAAACGTTCCCGGTTATCTTTCTGTCTCCTATTACATTTTTCTGGTGGCAGAGGTGTACTTGAAAATTACAGGTAAAGCATGCCAAAAAAAACCCAAACAAACGCATTATCTATTTGTAGCTGGGAAGCAAAACATCAGTTTACCTAATATTCTAAATTCTGGCTGTTAATTAGAGAACAGGTTTTGAACTAAAATTAAAAAGTGTTGATTTATGACTATAAGCCAATATAAACATGCCTGTTAGTAAAACAAAATAAGTGGTTTTCTTTTGTTTGCTTTAACAATGCAGTATGTAGTTTAAACAACACAATTTTAACTGAAAGTTCTTTTGATGGTTTTCCGTGGGTTAATATTTTAATGTCTTTTTAAACTATGGTGCTACAGAACGTAATGCTTGCTTTTGTTTGTTTTTTAATTTAAGGCACATGATAAATTTAAATCGGCAGATGTTACGTACAGTTTTCCAGGAGATTCAAGAGAAGGTATAAAAGTTAAGGAGTCCATTGAGGGAGCCGATGATTCTGAAGGAACTCCACAATTTTCACTAGGTAATTTCATGGAAGTGTTTTGCATAGCGAGTATGCAATATGATATTATTTTTAAATTACTTAATTATTTTTTAAATTAAGTAAAATCATACCAAGATTTTCAGAACTTGACTGGACAAGGCCCTGAGTAACCATCCAGCTTTGAAGTTAGCCCTACTTGGAGCAAGATATCGGCACTAGATGGCCTCCAGAAGTCCCTTCCAACATGAGTTATTTTATGGTTCAATAACATTTATGAACCATCTCTAACTACAGGAGGCAAAAAAAGGAGTCTAACAGCAGTTTTCTTCTTTCGATTTACCGTGCATATGCCATTGCTATTGCAAAGAACAATGTTTTCCCTGTAAGTAAATACAAATCATTTATTTAAAAAATTAACGATTTCTATCTCTTGTGTGTGGCCATCATAGGTTTAATTGATAATTGTACAACATTTTTTTTTGATAGTAATAAAATATTTTTGAAAGAATCAACCTTAAACTTTTAAGATTCACTCAAGCCTAATGGTTAGGCTACCAAACTGAATATTCTTGCCTTGGTTCACATTGGATTTGTTACCTGTTTTAATTTATAATTTTAACATTTTTGAATAGGATTGTAACACTTAACAAAATAATATATTACCAAGGGGAACTTTCTTAAGTAGACTTGAACTTTACCCAAGTTATGTAGTGAAAATGGTCTGAATTATTTTGTAGATGACTGTTTACTGGAGGTCATGATGAAGTCCGTGCTCTTACAGGGAGGGGAAAAAAATATCACTAGTTGTGAAGAAGGTGCTCTTTGTTGGTGTATTTGTGCTGCAGCTAAACCACGAAGACGACTGACCTTTCCAAGACAGTGGCAAAATTCTTAGATAATATGAAGCATGTATATTTGTGTGTGTATGTATATCTCTCTACCCACATACGTATGTGGGTAATGTGTATATATAGGTATGTATAAATACAATCTTCCAAAACAGGTGTTGCATCTCCCTGGTATCTACTCTCTTTTAGGAGCTTGTGACAAAGTTTTAGCTTAATGTTCTAAGAATACAACTCCCGCCACGGAAAATAAGTGTACTTCCTTCAGTATTTTTTTCCCCGATTCTAATACTTGCCTTTGTATGCATTCACACTGAAGTTTTTCATATCACAGACACTTGAGCTGGATACTTTTAACCTTGATTGTACCTGTGGAACGTACTTGCTCCTTGCTTTCCATTTTTATGGCCATAAATGGGTGAAGTGTTTGTAGGACCCTCTGTTCCTTTAAACTGAGTTATTGTCTTTCACATTAGAGAACTTAAAAAGTAACAAAATCACTAATCTTTTAAGTATCTTTCTTTCCTTTTTTATCCCCTCTGTCCTTCTGAATTTTTGTTACTTTTGTTTGAACTCTTCTTCTCTCCCTTCCATCCTCAGAAGTATGCAGAAGGCCTCTTAGTTTCAGCTGCTGGTATGCTTGCATTCTTTTCTTCTCCTAGCCTTCTTGTATTCCTCTTATTTTTGCATAGTCATGCCACCTTGCAAAGGCACGATTAAATTATGTCTATCTTGCAGTGATGGTTTTCCTTTTTTAGAAGGTAGGTGCATTCCTAGCAAGTATTCTGTCTGCAAGACTTAATACTGTGCTTGAGAGACAGGCGATCTTGGAGCTTGGGAGCTAAGACTCTTTGTTACTGCGTGCAGCCTTTTTTCTGTGCTGTCCAGGTGCCCACTCACACTGGTGCTGAGCATTCTTGATGTTCTTTAAACGCCAAAGAAGAGACAGGTCTACAAGCAGTTTAGCACCTTGGAAGTCATCTTCATTGGTGTAGGGGTGGCATCTTGTGGCAACATAGCTATCCAAAGAGGCTACTGAGAAAGTTTGTCAGCGCTTACCTTCCAGTATCACCCTTAGGAAAAGTGGTTTTGGATAGGGAAGGCAAAAATCAAGAAGAATCTACCCTGGGAATCTTCTTTCAGACCCTTTTCTCACCGAGAACTGAGGACCAGTATCCAAAACAGTCCATGATTACATGTTCCTAAACATGGACTCCGAACTAAAACTTCTTGTCTGATAACAGGATCATCTCTGTTTGAATTGCTTCCTCCTGGTGCCAGATTCAGTGCTGGGAAAGGACTCAGCAAGAACAATCCACTAAGAGTTTATGTGCTTCTACACTAGTAGAATAGCTGTCTTTGCTCTCATCTTGGTGAGCCCCTGACCCTCACTGCCACTAGATCCGCTCTCAGATCCTGGCTCCATGTTTCTCACTCTTTAGGGTTGCGTTACTGAGGAACAGAACAGCTAGCCATTCTCGACCTGAGAATGGAGAGGAGTCTCATACCCAGGAGTCTTGGCTCTCTGGGCAGTATGGCCCTTGCATGAACCAATTCTCATAGGAAGGAAAAGAAAACCCTCCGTTCTCTTTCCCCCCTCCCTCCCTTTCCTCGCATATATATATATATATATATATATATATTTTTTTTTTTCCTTCAACTACCCAGCCTGTTCATTAACTTATGCCAGTTCCTTTTCACCTTGAAAGGTGAGATTTCAGTTTGTGGACCCCTTAAAGTTATATATATTTTTTTTTTTTTTTCCTTCAACTACCCAGCCTGTTCATTAACTTATGCCAGTTCCTTTTCACCTTGAAAGGTGAGATTTCAGTTTGTGGACCCCTTAAAGTTTTCCACTGATGAATTTTAATCTAATGTCAGTTAGCTTAATTTTCTTAATTTCACTTTGGTGAGCTCCTTAGGAATAGTTTACAGATTGCAAAGCCAGTTTTCCAGGAACATTCTGATCACCCAACTTGTTGCACTACTGTGGATTTCGTAGTCATGTGCAACATCATCGTGCAACACCTCAGAGTGCAAGCAACCTCTCCAGCGTTCCTGGTGAACACTTCCCTTTCCATGTACCTGCAGGACAGCTACTTCAAGTTCCACGTGTGTTTGCACCAAGCAGCATTTATCACACCAATGTAAGAAAGATGCAGCATCTGCTAGAGTGGTCCTGGGCGCTTGTATTTTGAGAAGGTTCTGAAGTAAGTGTCCTCATGGAAAAGCACGTGGCTTAGTCACCCACAGTGTGAATGTACATATAGACACGTTCTCAAAGGAGAAAAAAGGTTACATTACCAGTAACGGTATTTCTTTGAGATGCATTGTCTATTTGTACATTCCCTATCCACCATCCTTCCCTTCTGTTCTCAGTATCTTTTCAGGTTCCTGGGTTAAGTGAAACTGAGGGTCCTATGATCACATCCTACAGGTACTGCTAAGACAAAAACCTCTCCAGTTTGAGTGTTTGCAATATGGACAGCCACAGTGTAAATGTACATATACACAACACATTTCAAAGAACTACCTTCTGGTAAGTAACTTCCCTTAATCATAATGTTGATTGTGGGGTAGGTATTTGGCAGGCAGTGTAGGTTTTTTGCTCTCCTTTTTAATAGGACAGACTTGGTGTCCAGAACTTCTTCTACCCGTTTTAGCTCTGTCCTCTCACAGCACCTCTGAGGACTTCTGCCTGTCAAATGAAAAGACATTTTTTCATTAAAGACCCATCAAAACTTCCAGCAGTCAAATTTCAGTGAAATGGAAATTTATTCAACTTGGCCTGTTACACATTTCTGTCCCGGTTTGTCTTCCATGCTTTGAATAGCATTTCTTCTTTTTTGCCTTTCCCCCTACCTTTTCCATGATTTCATATATACATGACTTTCTGAACTAGAAAAAGCAGCATGACTGAAAAGCTAAATGTATATTACGTGCTTTAACTTAAACAATTGAGTGATGTTTCCCTTGCATTAGCTTTAGTGGGGCTAGCCTTTGCCATCTGTTACTGTGGTCTGGTAGAAGCCAGGGAAAGTATTTTTACCTTAATATTCATGCAAGTTATTTCTCAAGATAGCATTACAGCAAAAATCTGAAGGCCAGCACTGTCGAATTATAATTAGCTATACTCAATTACGTGCATCGACTCAGATATTGATAGAACCTGACTGACTACAGTAAAATCCGGATTGCACTCTCTGTACTATTTTATCTATACTGATATTTTCAGGGTTATTCAAACAGGCCAAAGCCTCTTCATTTTTAATAAAAGTACAGAGGTAGCAGCAATTTGCGTTACCCAGGCAGAGTTCTCAGTCACGTCAAGAGAAGTCTTAGGGTACAGTTTCAGAACTTTACTGCTGTACGGTCCAGTGACTGGGAAGGCTTTTACTTTTTTTAAGGTAGTGTGATGCCATCAGAGGCACACCATAGAGTTCAGTGGGGTCCAAGGCAAAATTATCCCTGGTACATGCAGAGGTATTAAAAGCAGAGTTGTAATCAGTACATGGTCTAATTGCACTTTCCCTGGCAGCAAGGGGATAGCATTTGTCCAAGAAAAGAGCAACAGGCGAACAGGATATCGTGCAGGAATGTTGTCTTGCACAAGCTGAGGGAGTTGGTAGAAAACGGAAGGGATGCGAAATCATTTGAGCCTTACCTGGTCTGAACCGGTGCTGCCCAGAGCTCCCCTGATGTGCCAGCCAGCCTGGGACCAAAGCGTGGTGGGATCCCTGTTAGATTCTGACGCATAGGCAGGGTCTGTTCTGAAGACGAATAACTGAGCTCCGTCTGTAACTGTAATGCCCTGCACCTCTTTTGCGCTTCACTTCCCCTTCTCCCCCTCAAGGTTTACTTAAACACGTTATTTTCTGATTCATTTCTCTGCAGTTGAAAGAAAGCTGAACCAGTACACTTGTATTTGGAGTTGGCTACAGTGTGCCTTATAGTCTGCTGATTACTGGCACTAATTGCTAAGATGGAAGTTATAAGTACAATCTAGATATAAACTGGTCTTTTAGAATATTTAATATTAAACTACATTCTCATCACTTGACATAAGTACACAGGTACTTATTCTAATGTCAAAGATTGTTTAATTGCTTTTTCAGTGCAAAGAGTGTTTTAACAATGTTTTTGAAAGAAGCTTTTATTTGCCAATTAGAAGAGGAGAAACATGATTTGTATAGTATTCAATTTTAAAACCAGAGACAGTCAGGTATTGAAAGAAAGTGATTTTTTTTTTTAATACATATCTACTTTTTCTAATTGGTTTCTATGCAAAATTTTTGTGCAGGAGAATCCCAGAAATCTGTGAGGAGAGATTTAAAAGCAGTACACCTGTTACAAAAAGGAACAGAGAGCGCGTCTCAGCCTTCTTGTACCAAAGCGAAAGAAGATACCAAGAAAAGGGCAGCTGGAAAACATTCAGAAAATGCAGCACGAGAAGCTGGGAGTGAAGGACTTGTAAGTTTAAATAAAGACAAAAAAAACATACAGCTAGAACGTTGAAAAGACGGTATTACATTTACAATATATTTCCTATTATTGAATGAAATTATCAACATGCAGACGGCTTGAGGGTATTCAGCAACTTAATTTGCATGAAGTTCAGATACATCGTTCTAGTTTTAGAATAGAATTCAGCTTTTGTCCTTGTGATAATTTCTTAATAGACAACTATGAAACTTGGATTTTTTTTCAGACAGTAATTTTGGAGGCTAATATGTTTAAAATATTTTAATCTCAAATACAAGCATATGTAGTAATACACATACATTTAGAAATTAATTTTTGGTATTTAAAAAAAAAAATTCTAGAATTTATCAGAACTCGAAGAACACCACCTGAGGCAACGAGAGGACTACTTAAAGAAAAAAAGAGATATGCTCTTGGCTACGAAGAAGGAGTCAAGAAATAACGTACTGTCGGCAACAAGTACTGACCAGAAAGATGAGGAATTATCTTCTAAAGAGGTGAAGGATTCAAAATATTAATCATCCTGACTACTTTATAAAAAGCACATATTAATTTCAGTGAAGATGTAAATGTTGCTGCTGAATACGGTAGCAGGACAAAAGCAACAAGTGATGGAAATAGTGGCAGATCATTTTCAGGTTACTGCTTTTGCAGAAGTTTGTAGGGCAAGAAGCAGTTTTAGTGATTAGGTTAGCATTATCTTGTTTCCATATCATAAAATCTTCATGATTAATACAAGTTTATGAACTGCTAAAACGTTGACTTGCTCCTAGTCCGTGACCTACCATTTGGGCTCCCTTAGATCCTTGAGATTTTTTTTTTTTTCAGCCAATATCGGAAAAACAGTTTTCTTTTGCAAAGTCTTACTCTGCAGAGATAAATTTGCTGAGTTCTCTTGATGTCTTACAAGAGTTTTATTTCAAATGAAGAAATCCTTGATTGAGACATTATGATAAATTTAAATTTTAGAAAGACGAGGCAGTCTGAAAAGTGGATGCTACTGTCATCTATTCAGTTGCCTCTAATAGGAAGAAATGCCTCTGTGAGAAGGTTGGAATCATAGGCAGGAGAGAGAACGGCACATCAGATATGAAGGTACAGCTGGCAGTTAGTCCGTTCTTCAAGGCCTTTCGTTCTCCCACATGTAAACACTTTTCGTCTCCTAACGATAGCATTGGATTGATCTTCCGTGTAAAGACAGCCTCCTTTATTCAGAGACACGTATCATGGAGAGAGCTCTGCAAGATAGTTCGGTGTATCAGAATAAAATAGATTTGTAGTATTGTACATGACTGTAGTACTAAAGACAAGTTGTCGTGAGATCTTTTCCCCTGATATTCCAGTCTATAGGTACTGAAATGCCGTGGCACTAGGTTCAGTCACAGCGTGCTTGTTGGTGTTTCAACCAATCATCCTGTCACTGCCCGACTGTCTTCCATTCTCCAGCACTGAGTACCTGAAAAAGATATGACTATTTATTACGGGGAGGTCTCGTGCTTTCTATCTGAAGAGAACTAGAGCTTTTGGCTGTAACCACAGCCATCACAACTGCAGAGGGGCGATCAAAGTGCACAGCGGTACGCGCCTAGAGAGACTAACCACATCTGACGCCGCATCAGCCAGCGGGGATGCTCGAACCCCGGCAGCGATGTGTTGTCCCTGTCGTGGGCCTTCATCCTCTGTTGACCGTTTCTCCAAAGACTGCTGGATCAATTAAGTCTTCAGCTCAGATGTTGCATTTAGGAGATATGTCTGTACTTACGTTCTGCCACATGAATGCAGCATTTCTTGGGCATCTTCTGTAGTGGAAGATGCCAAATGAACAAGCACGTGAATGTGAAAGAATTATCGTAATGGCCAGCCATTTAAAATGTGTTGTCAGATTTGTGGTGTTCACATGCACATCCTGTATACAGATGCCAGGAATTCTGTAGTTTATAGAAAGCTAAAAGTACAGGAAGTGAATACTCTTCATACCATTCACGCAGAGCGCGAGGTGGAGCAAGAGATGCTAAAGTAGAAGAATTACTACTGAAAGTCTTAATGAGCGTTTGAAAGCTATATGGAGGCCGTCAGCCCCCAAACCCTAATCCTTCTCAAAGTAGTATTTGCAGAGAAGAAAGTAAGGAAAAAGAAGTATTTTCTCTGAATGATGTAGTTCATTGAAGCCTTTTTGTTTTCTTCTGAAGTCATAAACCACTGTTTAAAAAAAAAAAAGGCGGGGGGGGCACCCTAAGCCTTTAGGCAAAGGCAAGGCCTCTGATAATTTGTTTAATTTACAAGCAGTGCTAAAACCACAAACATTGTTGCAGGAGGTGGATCATAGGAAATCTAGTATGGGAAGGAGAAGTAAATCCTATCACAAAAAGAAACCATGGCCATAAAAACCAGAATCAGGACAGGATCAAGCCGTACCAATGTAAAGGACATACGAGAAGGAGAGAAAAAAAAAAAAGACAAACTTCTATCTTTTTTTTCTTTTGTTAATCATTATGATTCATATGATTTAATGTATTTGCCCTGAACAGTAGGTCTGCTCTGCATTAATATGACAACAAATGCTTGAAAACTGTCTTTAATATCAATAAGGAAACTATCTGAAGAAATTAAAAACAAACAACCAAAAAAATACAACACGATATAGCTCTATTTTTTTTTTTAAATCAGTGCTCTGCTCTACAGAACTTCTGCTGAAGACTAGAGACCTTCTGTTGCCTCAGGAATTTTTCCAAAGTTACTAAGCATTTTATGTGCACAATTACAGAAATACTGTTGTTTGGGAAACGTCTAAAACAACAGAGCCTCAACATTTGACTTTGAGGTTAGTCCTCTTCCTAAAGGATAGGTACAGCACAGCAGAGAAAAAGGCAGGCACGTATATAGAGACAGTCATCCACATTCTAGGATCCACTTCCCCAAAACAAGGCAAAATTTTAGATTTCTTTCAATCGTTTTTGAAAACCAATGACTTTGAAAGACCATATTCACAAATGACTAGTCTGTCAGCACCCCCAGAACTCATCTAATCTTCTTTGGCAGTGGATAACACTTAACAGAAAGTAATATTCCTATTCAAAATACTGTCTTCAGTATCAAGTGTGCTGTATGATGGACTGTAACATTCTTTTATGCAACGTTGCATTTTTTTAATGCATTTTTTTAATGCAACGTTGCATAAACCCCCCCTTTTCAAATAAGGGTTGAAATAAATTAATACTGAACATTAAAAACCTATCGGCACGAAATCCTCTTGCTTTAGCATCCCCTGCTGAGCGTGCATCAGGGCTACAGGACAGCGGGGGCAGTGCTGGCTGCAGCTGGGGAGCAGGGAAGGGCAGGCAGCTCTTCTCTGCTGGTGCCTTCGAGCAGCTTTTGCAAACCTGGTCCAACCGAGAGCTTTGGCAAGAACAGAGTACTTCAGCTTTTAAGTTTTATTACGTTATCGTGAGTTTTTACCTTAGATGAAGAGTTCAGCAGAGACACACAGTAAAGATGTGGCATTGCTGGCTTGTTTCACCTCTGCTGGGTGCCGTCACCCCAGGGCAGGGGACTTTTGCTGAAGAGCACGGACAGCTGGAAGGGGGCCGTTTCTGCAGCCTCAAGTTTGGAGATGAGGTTACTCAGCTGCTCCTTGCTGCTGAGGAAATTTCTTACCAGCTACTTGATTTAGCTCATACATTTTTAATTAGTATTCAGCATTAGAAGGCAGGCTATGTGTCAAAAAGCCATGCAGTTTATTACAGTATTTTTTTTTTCCATTTTCTTTGTAGACAATGTCAGAAGAGAAGCAAAGATTACTACAGAAGAGGAAAATGCTTGCAGAAAAACTAAAAGAAGAAGTTATTAACAAGCGGTAATTTTAAGAAGCTTGCTCATTGCAGAACTTAAGAACAGGAGTAGTTTCTTTTAGAATAAATTATCTAACCAATAATTGGACGGATTTATTTTCAAATATATTAATTTTTTTAGAGCTTTCACACAAGCAACTCAGTTCTTGGAATATCTGAGATTACATTGAAATACACAAAAAACATGTACGCTTTCCAGAATGCTGGAGACTTACTTTCACTGGAACGTACTCAAAAGCGAGGCCATATAACATGACCTTAGCATACAAATTTTGTGACCTACTGGCCTCAGCCACGTCTTATTAAGTAGAATAAAATCAGATACTGATTAAAATAATTACTATTACAAAATAATTGTTAAAATCATTCACATCATAGGTATTATTTTGAGTTAATTTTTTTTTTCCAAATATAAACTTTGTTCTTTTCCTTTTATTAGAATGTCATTATAAACAAATTACTCTTTACAGCTGTGAAATGCAATAAAGTAATTTCACAAGACAGTGATACGATAACCATCTTCCTTTGAGAAACAATGAATGCAGCTTGAAGTCAGGAGAGAGAACATTTACACCGTAACTCAATATTATATTATGTACTTTTGGGGCAGTTTACCAGTGCCTTAGGCCTAATCTTGCTATGAGTGCAACTTTTAAATAAAAATAATTGCTTTAGTTGCAAATTAAAAACTATAGAAATCACATCAGCAGTTTAAAAGTTCTGAAGTCAGTCTTTAAAAAAAAATCTCATTCACCACAGTTTGGTTTAGACAGAAAATGAAGCACAGAAGAGAGTCTGTACTTTGCACCTCATTACGCGTTTGATTGTTAAGAGTAACTCTAATTAAAAGAAACAACCCAACCAATTCAAGTTTCATGTAACTTTTTATTAAAATAGCATTTATAACTGATACATGTTGGCAGATGTTCTTTTGTTTTCTAAAAAGTGGTAGTGGAAGGGCCCCAGGCATGAGAACGCGGACTGTCCACTAGCAGAACCCAGGCAGCACCTACAAGGTCAGATGGGGAAAGGTCTCTGGTTGCCCGAGGGAGGCGACAACCCTAGGTCTTAGCCAGTTAAGAGTGCTGCATATGTCACCTTCTACAGGGATTTTAAAAATTGATTTAAAAAAAAAAAAGTTCTGACCTCTAATGCCACTTCATACAATCTTTTTCTACTATCTATAGAAATTCATGACATTCTTGTTTTTGCTGTAGAAAAAAGACAAGCTGGTCTGAATGTATTTTAAAGCTTTTGACAGTATTTCAGAAAAGAGCATTGGAGGTCGAGGGCGGGGAGGAGAAGTCAAACAAGAACTAACGCACTTCTGTCAGAGACCCTATTTTGGGTAACTCTTAAAGGGAGATTGGGGAGAACCAAGGTCCACAGACCAGGTAACATGATTTTCAGCCTCCGGTTAGTAAAGGCACATAACTGCATAACTTTGAGCTGCTTGAGTAGCATGTATGGCATTGTAGGAAGTTAATCATTACGGATGGAGAGAAGGCTCATCAGCAAAAAAACAGATGATCATCAGCAAGGGAGCAAGCGTATGGTGATGACATTGCATCTACACTTTACCAGCAAAATACTTCCTCAGTCTCTGCACTAAGAGAGAGTTTACAGAGTGTTTCATCACACAGGTAAAATAAGGAGTCCCATTCTTGGTTGCCTGGAGCCCACAAAGGGCAACATCATTTTCCCCAGGTCCACTCACATGAACTGTCATCCATCAGAATGCTTTGTGTCTAGCTTACTAGCTGGTAAGAACTCATGCATTCTGTTGCGCATTTGATCTAATGGTATATAATTATTTAAAACTGTATGGATAACTAGTCTTAAAGAATATTCTAAAATGGCCACACTTAAAATTATGAGTTAACTTACCATGTACAACAAACCAAACAAGAGCAATAATTATGGAATTACAGGGTCACATTTTAATTCCTGAATTTTACAGTTCAGCATTAATATCACCACATGTATACAAATGGTGTAAAACAAGTACAGTGGTATTTTTAATACAAAATAAACTTCTGTTTTATGGAAAAACTATACTTCATATCTACACAGACAGCCCATCTTTTTCCAAACAATAGCTAAAATTAAAATTAACTACAAAATCTCCAAAACAGAGAAACTGCTTCTTCAGTTTAAACTATTCCAGGAGAAATGGACCCATAACACATATTACAAGAGAGTGATCTATGTGGTGGATTGCAGCTGGTTTCGTATTTTTAACATTTCTGACACATTAATTGTTGTTGGGAAATTTCCTCTCACTTCATGATCTCAGATCACATATGGGCAAACTAACATTAAAATATTTACAGTGCACTTGCTGCTCTTGAAAATAAAACCTGGACTGTTTGCCTCTTATCAGTTCACCTACTTTTGTTGCCGTTTGCTTACCTACATGGAATGTGCTTTTCTTTTCTTTTCTTTTACTTTTAAAAAGCAGCTTTCATGTTACACCCAGATTCAGGTGCTGCTTGTTGATTCTGCCTCAAAGACTGGTGTCTTGTTAGTAGTAATTCCATCTTGGTCCAAAATGACTTTGGTGTTAAATGCCGCTAAATTCATCCCTATGAAAAACCTGTTAGTGTGTTTCTTATTACCACCTCAATTACACAATTTAAACTTGCAAATATGAAAATACACTTGCTGCTCGGAGAGGAGACAGCTCAATTTAACAGAGCAGAAAGTGACTCAGTTCTGTACCCCTCCATACAATGAAAATGACAGCTGTACGGGTGTGCAGTTCAAAGCACTAGTTTGACACAAGCAGTTCCTAGAGGTATTTTGGAAGCTATTGTTCCTTGGCATAGATATTGGATATCTAATTGAAAAAACAAGCAAAACTGCCCGTTTTGAATCCAGCTTCCTTTTTCTCCTCTTGAAAAATACAGATTAAAATTTATTTTCAGTTGCTTTAAACAATGCAACATGCACTCTAACTGCAGTGTTCCTCCCTCCAACCTTAAGAAATGTGATTTAATTTGTAATAATGGTCCCAAAATCTGGATTGTTCTTATGCAAATAGAATTAGTTTTCCCTTAAAAATTTCTTTTAAAAGAGGCATTGCTAAAAGAACACAACTGACAGCACCATTACAAAATTAAGATAACTGGGTTCAAAATTTAAGCTTGACATTTTTTCCTAGTTCTGTTAAACACTGGGGAAACCCTGCAATATTTAAAAAACTGTTTACCATACCTTTCCCTCCCCGTGCCCTCCCAACACCTGAGACTTTCCTTGCTGAGAAGCCATCATCCAGGTTCTGAATACTACCCCCCCCCCTTTTTTTTTTAATTTTTAAAATGTAATTTGACAGCCTGAATGGCAGACTCCTTATTTACTAGAAAGATATCAAGTTCCTTGGAAGCCTTGTGTTTACAGAACTAACCCTTTCTAGCTGATATACTGAGTTTCTTTTGCTACTCCTTGTGTTATCTTAAATACTCATGGGAAAAAGCTTTCTGAATCAGATTCTTTTTAGCTCTTAGAACAGTTGCAGCATTTGAAACCCCATAATAAAAGTTTATTCCAAAGTTTTGGTTTCTTCTATGAACCCAGACGAGGTCTTTTCCTTGGAGATGTCTCCTCCTCTTCATCATCATCTTCATCATCAGGATAATCCACTAGGCCAACTAGACTTCCCTGCCAATTTAAATAAATAAATAAAGGCTCAAATTAAAAAAAAAAATACCTAGGAATGTCCAATTTCAGTACACAATCCCCCATCAAATTGGGCGGGACATGAACCTGCAAAAAGTCAAGGCTCTCTTAGGATGCCACTCAATTAACCTACAGTTAGTTGTTTTTGAAACACTTTATGCAGAAAGGGTGATTTCCCTCTGTGCTGGGAGTGTTGCTTGTAAGCTGGGTACTGAGTATTTTCTCAGTGATGCCTTTATCATTCATAGGCCTGTTTGCCTTGAGAATTTTTTTTCAACTTCAAACGTATACAAGTACTGGAACTTCCTTTGCTCCACTGGATCTGTCCCCAAAAACATTTAAATCATTTTTAAATATATATATTAAATTCCTTAAATATATTATTTGGTGTGATCTTTTTACAGTATCCACTACTTGCCAGGTAAGACATAAGATACTTGAAAATATTTCCGGATATTCAACCAGCCCACCGCACAACACAGCAGGAGCTCCAGCCCTTTCTGACTGGATAGTCAGAAAATGCAAGGGTCCGCTGCATATGTCTTTTGCTGAGAAGCCATAAGTGAGCACGGTAAATTTTTTGCCAAGTATAACACTTCCCTGAAGCCTCTCAAGCTACAGATTAAACTAATACACTGTTGTATACGACAAAACAAAAGTATCAATTAGCTACCGTATTTCATCTGCTTAAAGCTTTACTAATTCTATGACTGCCCGTCCAATAACTAATTCAAAGAAAACTAAACACCCCCCTCTTCCTCCCCCGCCCCATATATCCCCCACAAAAAGCAGCAACTGGGCAGTTCAACAAAATTGAGGGGTGAGAACAGTGAGAACAGTATGCAGAAGATAAAAGATTCAGTTGTGCCCACGAGATTATCAGTCCTACCGAACACATCTTTAAACCTTCCCCAAAACTATTAAGGGCTTTAACTGAATAGACCTCTGTATCGATTTAATCGTAAATAAGATACTCTGCCCAGAGACTAATGCTAACCTTACTGCATTACAATCAGTACAATTTCATGATACTGCTGCTCTTGCACTCTTACTCAAGTTGTCCCACCTTCGTGGCTGTCACGGCTGTGGTCAGGGTTGCATTCTTGGAAGAGGAGCCATTGGAGCTTGCTGGTGACGTTTGAGCTGCCACAGATTTGCTGTTTGCACCATTTGCGCCATTAGCTGCGCTGGCAGAGTGGGAAAAAGTGAATTTGAAACCCCCAGCTGAAGTCCTTTTTGGAAGATTTTCTTTGTCTTCACTCTCTTTAGCTGAGGGACAAACATATTCATACTTAAACGTTGTACACCATAAAGAACAACCCACATCACAGGATAACTGCAGGACAAAAGAAGCCTTTTCTTCTTTTGGTTTCAATCAACAACTCACCTACCGACCTCACCCAAAGCACGCATTCAACATGAGAGAATGGCACAGCTGCTTTGGACACGGGGATGGTGCTCACTCAGGATACCCAAGCACATACAGAATTTACTTTTAAAGGCGATTTAAACTACCAGCATGTTTGGAGCAATTTAATTGATCGTTTTCATCCTAAATTGGCTTGCAAAGGCACATCAAGAATTCATTACTTACTTCACAGAATGCCATTACTGCTGCATATGCTTCAGAGTGCAAAAATGACACATTGTTTACATGGCACACAACGCTCCGAATATCTGATGGCACTTGCCATGCTGACAAGCTGAAATTTGGCCAATACCTTTTTTAGTTTCCATAAATTTTTCATAGCTATCTGGAAAATCATCCTCTGGTTTCGACTTCTCGACTGGAGGTACAACAGCTTCACCTTCTTCCTCTTCATCTTCATTGAACCACATTTCTTCATCTTCCTCTAAGGCTCTTGCATCTCTGCGAAATCTATTGCTACGCAATATAGATGGAACACTGTAAGAAACACATGACAAAGGATTCAAGTTTTGCTCACCATTTCCAGACTGTCAGCTTGGCACAGAATTTTAAAGAGAATTCAATGCACTTGAGAAGGCAATCAAGCCCAGGCCACGGTTCTAGTACCACCATAAACTTCACCCAAACGTCACCTGACGACGAGGGAGACTGAAGCCTAAAACTATGAATGACAGAAGAAGATTCTACTCTTCATAAGCTAAAAGTTTTCTGAATTTAACATTTAAGATATTGACAAGCATGAACTGTATTACACTGGCCACAAGGAAACCCAAATGGGGGCTTACTGTAATTAAATAAATTGTCATCATGAAAGGAAAAGAAAAAAAAAAAAAATCTAGCCTTTGCCTTTTTTTGTCCTCTTTGAGCAGAGGGAAGGGGGAAAGCAGCAATAACAACATATTACATAATGACAGTAAATAAAAGCCTTGGGACATAAAAACTGGAGAGTACCTGTTCAGTTTCTGGTTTTGTCGATCTTTCTCCTGCTCATATTTTGTCTTCAATCCCTTGAACGTCTGAACATATTCGAT